CCGTGCATCGCGGTGGCTGGTCCAGCCACCCCGGGATGTCGGCTATGGCGTGTCCCTGCCTGGTGGCAGGACGGGGCCAGTCCTCACCTGGCGAGTCGTAGCCCGTCCCCAGTCCCATGCTGCCGCTGATGCCCAGGTGCGTCATGGTGTTGGCCAGGTTGCTGGTGCTATTGCCCCCGCTCAAACTGGGGTAGGTGGTCTCATCCGGGTCGAGAGGAGTGGGCAGAGGGGAGGGGAAGTGCAGGTTGGTGAGGTCGGGGAGGGAACCCCCCGTGTTGAGGGCCGAGGGGATGAGGGGGACGTTGGCAGGTTGATCCGGGGATGGAAATATGCTGGGGGAAAAAGAGACACACGCTCAGCGTGGGTACCCCGCCGCCTCCTCCAGCATCCCCCTCCCCAGCAGCACGGCCCCCCCACCCCAGCTCCAGCCCCTTTTCCGCAGTCACCCGTGGCCTCAGGCTGCTCGGCCACATCCCCCAGCCCAGCCCAGGACTTACTGGATCCCAGGGACTTCGCAGGAGCGTGGACGGGCCGAGGACGAGGAGAGCTGCGAAATCAAAGAGGAGGAGGATTGACGCGAGGCCGGGATGCTGAACCTGCATTCCGCGTTCCCCCAAACCCTGGGCCAGCCGCGGTTTGAGGGCAGGAGGGAGGCAGAGCCACCCCGGTGTCACAACACCCCGCGGGTAGGGGGACGCAGGGGTGACTTTCTCGGGCTCCTTCCTCCGCACCCACCTTCTTGGTGTCCCAGGGCTTCAGCGAATGCTTGTTGTCGTCGAAGGTCTCTTCGATGGGAGGCACTTGGAAAAGAAACACTGGCGAGGGGGAAGGAGAGGGTCAGCGCGGGGAGAGCGGCACAGCCCACCCTCACCTACCAACCAGTCACGAGTGGGGCATTACACACCCACCCGTCACAGAGGGGTCCCGGGGCAACGGCCCCCCCATATCCCACCCGCTGGCCCGACAAGGGCAGGCACTCACCTTTACTGTCTGCGTCCCCGTCCAGAAAACCTGCAAGAGAGCAGGCGACCGTTAGCGGCAGTACTCGGGGACACGGGGGACATCGTCCAGCACCGCGGAGCGAAGGCAGGAAGGTGGGGGGGTTGCTGCGTGACCCCACTGCGGAAGGACGGGGCTCCAGATGGTCCCCCCACAGCATCCTCGAGGGGTGGAAGGGGCACGGGGGTCCCGAGGCAGCCGGGTGGAGGTGGGGAGCAGGGGGGGATCCCGCTGAGGAAAGCGGGGTGTCAAGGGGAGGGGACACTCACCGCTCCGGCGGCTGGGCGGTGGGGCGCCCTGCGAGGGGCCCAGGTAGGCGTCCTGGGGGTTGGGGTTCATCACGCTCGTGTGAAGCGCCGAGTCGGAATTTGTTCTAATTGGAAAAGGAAAGGTGATGGTCACAGGGGCTCAGGTTTGACCTTTGCCTCCCCTGTTTAGCTGTGACAGCCCCCCGCCGAGTCAGTCCCCACCGGGACAATGGGCGAGAGCGGGGCCAGGGCAGCAGGGAAAGAAGGGGACAGGCAGGGGGAGGAAGGGAAGGGGAGCACGGGGGGTTTCGCTGGAGGAAAAACCGTCTCCTTTAAAGCCCTCCATGTCCAACACCACCGTACCCAGGATGAGCCCTGGAGGCAGACACCAAGGGGCTCTGTGGGGACACTGTCCCCATCTGCCAGCCCTGCCCTCCCCTCCCCACACGATGCTCTAGTGTGGTCCCTCGCCCGGCGCTTCCAGACACGCTGGGGCTTGTTCCAGCTCCATCTCCTCCAAGGGACGGCTCCGCCACCACAGCGAAGGCCCCTGGAGCCTTCGCCACCCCTGGCATGGGGGAAGACAGGCTCCCCCGAGAACCCTTTGTTTCCCCGGGGGCCCTGGAGGGGCTGGGGGCAGAGGACCCAGGGATATTACACCCATTGTGTTCCCAATTAGTTGGTCTGAAGCAGAAGAGCGCGGGGAGGGGCTGGGAAAAGGCTGCTCGAGCTAATGACGAGTCCTGGGACCGCACAAGGGGGATATTGTTCAGCTGCGGCGCAGCTGGGAGGCAGGAAGCTCCCCCCGCCGCCCATGGGACGCAGCCCCCTCCGGCGCGGGGCCCAACCGGGGCGCGATGGGC